ACTTTTGTTTTTACTTCGCTTGCCTTTGAGGTCAAATTCATAAAATCCTCTCTAAGACCAAGATCCATTTAGGTTAGTACCTAAATTTTCTTCTATGTATTGTATTGCTTCAGGTCTTGTATTTACATCTTTGATCCATTTTGAGTTAATTTTTGTGTATGATGACAAATAGCAGTCAAGTCTGGTTTCATTCTTCTGCATGTGACATTCCAATTTTCTCAGCCCCAGTTATTGAAGATTTCTTTTCTTTTTTGTATGTTTTTGGCTCCTTTGTTGAAAATTATTTGCCTGTATATAGTAGGTTTATTTCTCGGTTCTCTTCCATTGGTTTGTGTGTGTGGTTTTTTGCCAACACCATGCTGTTTGATTATTGTAGTATAATGTAGTATAATTTGAAATCAGGGAGTGTGATACCTCCAAACTTGTTCTTTTTTCCCCCTCAGGATTCCTTTGGCTTTTCAGGGTCTCTTGTGGTTCCATACAAATTTGATAATATCTTGTTCTCTTTTTTAAAAAATGTCATTGGAATTTTGATGGGGATTGCATTAAATCTGTATATTTCTTTGGGTGATATGGCCATTTTAACTATGTCAAGAATCTACATTCTTAAAGACATCATTCCTCAAATAAGCCTCCAGTAAAGACCTGGCTTTCCTGGAACCTAGAGAGAGGAGCTCCTCTTTTTACACAGAGTTTAGATTCCAAATGGCTGTACTTAGGGCCATTGTTTTTTATTTAGACTTAATGAGAGGAGTTTTCAACGTGCAGTTTCTGGATGCATTTTCCACTAAAGAGGGAGGTAGGCAACTTGAAACTTTAAAACAGGTCTACTTTTCTCCTCCTAGCTCATGTATGTTCTATGCTATCTTTTTCCAAAATACATGTTTTGTATACTTTGAAATTGAGGGTATGTAATTCCCTCCTAGGTAATTTCTTCAAGTGTTGTAAGGAACCTGTTAGTAACTTCGTGCCCCATAACTCAGACATTATGAACATTTGGTGCTTGGGATGCATGGAACTGCACTTTTCCAGAAACATGTATTTTACCAACCTAGCCTTGGTTCTAGAACAAACGTTTGGTCTTCTGTGACTTAAGATTAGGTTTAGTAGGCATCTGACTTCCCAATTTAGTCTCTTTCGTCATACTTAAAAACTTTTGCATTCTGTCAATCACTTTTTCAATGTCTTGTTGTCAAGAGCATAGGCGTACCATCTCACGTTTTACCTGTTTGCCTTTTGCGTTCGCAACTGTCATTACTAAGCAGTCATCTTTGTGCAAATGAGCAGTTCTCGTTTTCTTGTGATTTTCAGTTGTGAGTATCTATCTCCTTTTGTTTTCATCACAACGTTACTCAGTTCACAGTAACTGTCAGTACTCCTACTACTTTAACGCTTATCAGGTATTACACAGAACACCTCAAATTAAGTAGTCTTAGAGCAAACATCCTTTTAAATAGAAACAACCCCATGAGCCCACTGACTCACTTGGCTTTGGTGGGCAACGTTGAGTTTCTTTTGTTCTGTTTTGCGGCTTTTTAAAAAAACGATGTGAAGAAGTTAAAAATTCTTAGTGAGTTTTTGATTTCCTACTGCGGATGTAGGACACCTTTCAAATGACTTCCTCAACGCATTGAAAGATGGGAAGATGAGGTTTACCACCATCACTAAACTAGTCGAGGAAAATCCCATGCCTTATTGGCTTTAGGGAGAAAGAATCTTGCTAATGAGTTACTCCCACTGTGTCATTTTTCTTTTCTTAGTGCTTTCATTCAACCATTTTTATTTGCTGGGGCTTCATTTACTGTTTGGATCCTGGGGCCGATAACATCACTCAGAGATGTTTCGCAAGTTCTCTGGACTTTAATTCCCTTACAAGCTTGTGTGGGAGTTGGTGGAAAAACAAAGTGGTTGGTACTCAACACGACTTCCACCAAAAAGAACTCTTATGCATTTCTCCAAGAGGCTTAACCGTGATGAGCAGAAGAGACCTGCTCCCGGATGGCGCTCATATTCCAGAAGCGCGGAGTGGAAGCTGAGAAATCCTACATGCAACCCGCCCTTTGAGTCAGAGGCGGGTCGGAGAAGCTAGTGAGCAGGCGTGTGGTCCGGCGAAACTCAGGAAGAAGCCCCTCTCGGTCAACCACAGCCGGAATTCCCCACTCCACTAGCTCCATCCCATCTCTTCTCACGCCCACCCACAGCCTCCGGAGTCCGCCCGCGCGGTAACGTCACCACGAGGCAGCCCCGAGGCCCCACGGATCCGCGGAGGGGCGCTCCGACGCTCCGCCCCTGAAGTGGAAGCCGGAAGCTGGGTGCGACGTCGTGGGGCGTCCCTTAACCGCGGAAGCCTAATAGCTGGCGCACCTGCAGGAAGGCGGCGGGAGACAGCGGGCATGCGCAAGGCTGCTGAGCGGCGCACGCGCTCTACTGGCCTCACCCGGCGGAGGTGATCCGGTTTTCCTGGTTGGAGTGGGTGGCGCGTCGTGGGCTGTCCTGGCTTGCGGGGAGAAGGAGGAGAAGAAGGAGATGGGGAGGGACCCCGACTCTTGCGAAGGATGGGTTTGCTTTTGGGATAGAGAGGAGCTGAGTGGACGGATCCCGTTGTGCATTTGTGCTGGCTGTGCCTCCCGGAGTAAGGGAATTATCTGTCGAAAGATGAAACCAAACCACCACGCAAAATGCAATGAGCTTATTCTAAGCCTGGAACACTGGCTGTACACGACTAGAGCCTGGGACCAGTTCTCCCTAAAGGGATGACAACGTATCTGTATGACAGACACTGCCTTGCTGACAACCTTGTGGGGCATTATTACAAGACCCCTAATTTCCCCTCGGAAACCGAGTACAGATTAATTTGTCTACCGGTCACACGGCAGAAAAAGGGTGGAGTTGCCATTTCCATCAGATTTGTCTGATTCGAAAACTCAGAGCTGTCTACCAGATGCTTGGAACTCATGAACGGGTGAAAAGCAGATAGTAAAGACATTCTGTAAATAAATGGCAAACGTGAATTTTAGATGTTAAGAGATATAAACCAGGCTGGAGGAGACAGGTGGGGCAGGAAAAGGGGGTAGATTTTGAGTGGTATTTGGCAAGAAAAAAGGAGAGAAGAAAGGAAAGGTTTTGGGAAGCAAGGAAAGGAAAGCAAAGGCTTGGAAGTGGGAGAGGAAACCTGAGAGAAAAGGGGAGTATTTACCTTAAAGGGAATCTTTTCTGTTTGGCTTGCAAATAGATGATCTGTTAATTCCAGAGACAGGCTTGTCTTCCAGAGCAATGGACTTTCTCTTTTCTGCACAAAAGTATATGCTAGATGCACAGTGATACCTCTGTCTGTTCAGCAAGAAGACACATTCCAGCTTATTTCACAGTCGGAAACTTCTGTACTGGTGACAAAGATGAAACAGGTTGGGGAATTTATTGCTGGACACCGGCTTGCCTGAGAGAGCTTTCTTCAGTGCTTTCAGCTTCCCTGTCTCCTTTATGGCTACAGTGATGAGAGGAATAAACACTTAACCCCAAATCCAGTATCCTGTCAGTGTCAACATCCTGTCTTTCAAAGAAAGAAAAAAATCCTACGTCATGTTTGTTTATAAAAGGTTGGCTTCAGTTGTTTTTTTAATGTGTTCATGGTTTTATGCTGCTTTTACTGCTCTAACACAGCTTATCTACCCAATTTAGCAACTGATTACTACCTTGTATTGGCCTGCAATTGTTTATAGGTGTAAATTATCTTCTAAGCAAGGTAAGATTCCTCAGACAGGGACTATGTTCTCTATCTTATACCCATGAGTACTGATTTAAATGACTTTTTCAAGTGTCTCTTTTCTACCCTGTTGAATCCTCACAATTCAGTAACCTGCCTGTAACATACTAGCACTCAGTAAATATTAAATGAATGAAATGATGTCTTCTGGAGATATTATTTGTTATTTTCTCGGTTCTCTAGCATAATTATGCCCTTTTTGGTGGACATTCAGCAAAGGTGTGACCTAATTGCTGTGCCTCTTAGCAGGGGAAACATAATCTCCCTGTTGCCCTATAAAGAATTGCCACCTGAACATCATGTCCCCAAGAAGTCTGTCAAGAAATAATTGTTGAGAGACTGACTAGCCTCAAAGAAATTCTTGATTCTTCCCTGAACTGTGCATGACACTTCCACAATGGTGCTTCATTCGAGGCAGGTGAAGGCAACTCAAGTCTGAACCACCTTTCTTCTGCCAACGTATTCAGCTGACAGTAAAGACTCCATGGGGTGACCACGGGTAGGGGGAGAGGGGCTAGAGAAGGGATGAATTCAGGTACTGTTTGAATATAGGGGAGCTAGAGGCTAGAGCAAATTTCAGTATTTCCATTTAGTGGTGCTAAATCTGACTCTCCCATTAATTAGTTGTGAGTGTGTGTTGCAAGTTATTTAACATTTCTGGGCCTTAGTTTCCTGATTTGTAAATGGATTTGATAAGGATAACGCCACAAAACCGTAAGTTATAATTTGTAAACTGGTAAAGCGCCGCACAGTGGCAAGCGTTTTAAGTGTTTGACGTGTAAATAAAACGCTGGTCTAGGGTAACCTCCACTTCTACATTGCTAGCCTCTTGGAAGCCCCACCTTTATTGAATTATGTTTTATAGCTGTTTCCAGTTACGAGGTTTCCCCGGACCCAAGCAATTATTTTTGCTGCGGTCTACAGGGCTATAAATCGCCCAAACGATTTGGGATGCCCATGCTATTCCAGCCGTCTCCTCACTGCCCATGCTCCGCCTGCAATCGTGGTGGGGGCGTGAGAAGGGTAGGTGGCACGCCTATGCTTCCTCCCACCTCGCCAGCTTTGCAGTTCAGCTAAATAGCTAGAAACAACTCCGCGGCCCTCGTCTCCTCCCCGGAACGCCTTCGGAGGCGGGGCTATGCCGCCACGCAGGCGCAGTGCGTCAGTGCCGCGCCTGCGCGGAGGAGGGACTGAAGGAGGCGGGGGATTGGTATGCAAGCGAGTGTGTGAGGGGTGGAGGCGACGGGGCAGACGGTGGTACTACGACAGGCGCGGGGCGGAGGGGCGGAGGGGATGCGCCGCGGCAGCCGCGGCTCAGGCTCCGGTGCTTGTGTTTGCAGGCGCCAGAGCAGTGAATCCCGGTTTCATTGCCGCAGCAGCGCGGTTGTCGCGCGCGGCTGAAGACGCTCTACCTCTCTGCTCTTCAGTTTTTTTTTTTAATAACCGGAACCAATGAACGCAGCTGGGACCTGGGCTCCGGTGGCTGCCGGTGCCGAGGGAACCAGGCTGGCGTCCGGCGGGAGCTCGCGTCCGAGGCGGTGGGGGCCGCCTGAGGAGTTGCAGGCGGCAGCACCTCGCGGAGCGAGCGAGCGGCGGGCGGCCGGGGCACCCGCGCGATATCTCCCCGCTCCTCCTCCTCCTAGTCCTCATCCCGCCACGACGCCCGGTCTGGCCTCGGGCTGGCTGCTGCGCCGGCATTGGGCTGCGCTGCTGCTGCTCTGGCTGCTGGCTGCCGGCGCGGCGGACGGATGCGAGCTGGTGCCCAGGAACCTCCGTGGGAGGCGGGCGGCGGGCTCTGCCGCGGCAGCCGCCTCCTCTCCCACTTCGGCGGCGGGCGAGAGCCCGGCGCTCCTGACAGGTGAGAGCCGGGTAGGGGGCGGCGGGTGGGGCTCTGTGGGTCTCTGCGGGACTCCCATCCTCGGGAGGGGCCCCTGCCCGAGCCAGGCGCCCGCTACTCGAAGGCCGCGGCCGGTGGAGCGACGCCGAGCCGGGCGCTCAGCGTCCTGACGGCCGCTTTGTCGGGGTCCCCTCACTCCGGACGCCTTCCTATTACCCGCACCCCCCGCACCCCACTTTCGACAGAGCCTCTCAACTGCGCTCGCCTCTCCGCCCTTTAGTCGGGCTCCCCAGTGTTCTGTGCTGAGCTATGCGGAGGTTCTCTTCTGTGCTGCAGAAGAGCAGCAGGGTCTGCAGGGTATTGGGCTGATTTTTTTTTTTTAAAGATGCTAGAAAAAGTCAGCAGCGGCAATGCGGTATTGAGTCGGCCTCTGATGCTGCTTTTGCAAAGGCAGCTGGCAGCGAGTTTTCAGGTTCAAAGCTCTGCTGAGCATAGTGTCCCAGGGGAGGTTGCTAAAATATTCTTTGAGAGCCTTAATACCTAGTGGTATTAGTGGTTCCGCATTAGTATGAGGAATTCCTCTAAGTCTGATGTGTATTTTTTGAGCGGTGGGAGGAAGGCCGTTCTTTAAATGATGGAAAGTATTTATTTGCTGCTGGGAGCATCAATAGGTGATCAAGGATGCGGAAAGCTCAGCAGGTAACAAGAAACGTACCTAAAATCTACCAAATGCAGGATATTCGGGGCTTGTATTTGAGCAGCACAGTTCTGATAGACTGTACTAGCACCTTTTTAATATAGAACGTTCTCGAAATTATTGAAAAGTTGAAAATATGTTTGATAAGTTTAGGTACAAAACTCTTTTTCAAGCCTTCCAATGTCATGTACAAGCAATGTATCATGGATTAAGTCATGATATAAGGATCTTAAAATGATTTCTTTTGTAGAAGTAGTGGACCTAATGTTTATCTTTTGTACTTTATTTTTAAAAGTAATCTGTAGGTTTTCTACATTAATTGCTAGACCAAAAAGGAAAAAGTAAAACAGAACAAGATGGTACATTGTTAACCTAACCGAAGTGATAGTCCAGCAGGCATCTGAAAGTTGCTAACAGCTGCTCTGGAAGTGTCCAGGAGCTATATTCTTGAGCGCAAAGAAGCTTTTCTCTGACAGGATGTTTACTATTCTAGAGAGGAGGGCCTTGGTAAACTTCACCAGCTCTTTGGGGGATGTAGAAAGCATAATGATCAGAATTTTTAACTTACTCTATCCCGAAATATCTCAACCCTTTTGAATGGAACTTGAAACATCATACCTATCACTGGGTAATTTGGATAAAATGATTACAGAATGGTTAATATTAGGAGTATAATGTAGTGTGAGTGAGAGGATAGGTTTGAGAGTCTTATTCTTGAATACTCTTTATTCTCCAAATAAAAATGTGGTGAAGAATAGTCAGGAAAGTAGCTCGATAAAATACAATGTGAAGGTTTATGCCTCGTGCAGGAGGAGGGAGGGAGTAGAAATATTTGAGCTGGAGTGCAGCTCTTGGTTTCTTGAGCAGAGAAGTTAGATTAAAAAATTTTGGCTAAAGTGTTTATCAATATGTAGTTGGTAGAAGGGCACATGATTCAGAAAACAGTATTTATTAACCACTAACAGTATATATTGTATACTATGTAGATTATATCAAGAAAATTACTTCAAAAGGAATTTTATTTTAATAACCTTTATAATCCTTCCTTTTGAATACTTAAATTTCTGAGACATTTGGACATTGTGAAAAAGGAAGGCTGATTGTTATTGGGTAAGAAGTCTGACTTTGTGCTGTAGTGCTTTAAATAAGTTTACTAAAATGATATTAACTCTGAAATTTATTTCTGATGTTCTTGTTCTTCTTTTTGGTAGAATGTAGGTTAAATATGTAACTTTTTAGTAAGTTAAATATGTCCATTTAAAGTTTAAGATAATCAAACTACATGATGTACAAGTTAAATTGTGGTCAGTTTAGTAAGTTTATGTAAATACAGTTTATAGCACTGGTATCTGGGAAAAGGTAGATTGAAAGGTAAAGTGAGAGCATATTAAAAATTTCTTTGAACTGTATGGTCTGTGTAGGGTTCCTATTCTTCTGATTGTATGAATAGGGCTTTCTTTTATGGTTTCCATTGGTAAAATGTTGTGCTAAACCCAGAACACAATTATTGCTGTTGCACACTTCAGGAAGCCATCCTGTAGACCGAACTTAGGTATTGCATTGTTAACGGATAGAAACGAAGTAGAGAGCATCAGTAATAAAACTAAGCTTCATGTGAATTTTGAAATTGAAAAATTATTGAAAGAATTCTGAGAGAATTGTTCTGTCTGCATGTTAAAGTTGTCAGTTAGCTGTGATTATCCTGAATAGCTCTGCAAGTGACAGACAAAATCACTTTTATCTTCTCTCTTCCTCTCCTGGTTGATATTTTTAATACCGACCTTTATAAACTTCATTAGAGTTTGCTTCTTACTAATAAGATTTAGAAAACATTCTTTTCCCCTGAAGTTACACTTCACAAACATTTTACTTTAGACATTTAGTGTGTTTTAAGACCAAATTGCCTTAAGTCATCTATTGCATAGTTTTGAGCAAGCAAATGTTCCTATAGAGACTATGACAGATCATCAAAATAAACAAAACTGTTGTCATAATGTTTAATTTCCTTTTCTCTTTTATATTACCTTTTCAAGATTCAGTGTACAAATATTTTGATAAGGGGAAACCAATATTTATAATACTGTGTAGTAAGGGCTTACATTATATGCATTAGGACTCTTTCTTGGAAAGCAATTGAAATTTAAAGCAGATAAGGCGTTGGTGACTGAGAGCTTGTTGATTGTGTTGGCAGAGTAGTACTTTTAATAACTTAAAATGTTACTCTATTTTTTTTCTTTTTCTTTCTTCTTTTTTTTTTTTTGCCTAACAGATTTAGAGTCATTGAGTTGATCCTAGTTGGGAGTGATGGATCTTATCGGCTATAGCCCCTGAGAAGTTTCTGAAAGGACAGTGAATATGCACACACACACAAATACACAAATATATTGCATATATAGAACATGATCTTCATTATGGCAAAACACAATAATTTAAATTAAAAATTCTTATGGAGTTACTTGTTTCATAATTTTGTAAAACAGATTTTAACTTTGGAAATATTTCTACCATTTTTTAAATGGATGGATGCAACCTTCTTTAGTTCCTAGTAAAAGTTTTATATCAATTATGATTTCACTAATTTTAAAAACATTTTAAAACATGTCTTTTGGAAGTACTAAAATTTCAATAAAAATTAAAAATAATTTTTCTTAGTTTGAAAGAAGTTTAGAAGAGCTTTAGCACTTTACTCATTAGTGCTAAACACATCTGTGCCTAGGGGTTTCATTAATTTAGATGAACGTATCTCACATGAGCATGATTGTCACTGGAAAAACTTTAAGCATCACTTTTATTTATTTATTTATTAAATATTTATTTATTTTTAGAGAGAGGGGAAGGACAAAGAAAGAGCGGGAGAGAAACACCAATGCATGGCTGCCTCCCATGTATTCCCTGATGGGAACCGGCCTGCAACCCAGGCATTTGTCCCGACTGGGAGTCAAACCGCGATCCTTTGATTCGCAGGCCGCGCTCAGTCCACTGAGCTACACCAGCCAGGGCTAAGCATCACTTTTAATGATCTCATGTTGCACCCTAATAACATTTACTCAGCAAATGTCATTTTTTATTAATGGTTTTTTGAGTGCAGTTTATATGTATTAGGTTGAGGAATATATTACAGTGAATATATTTGCTAATGTTTACAGTGGGACAATAGTTAAACTCAGTGTAGCTCATATAGTACTAGTCAAACTGTTTTTCTTCCTTTTGTGAAGTTGCTCTTCTGAATTTAGCTTATGATTTCCTGAAGCTGCCTTTGGATGGCTAGGTTTCCTGCTATATCTTTTTCCTTCCCTGTTGTTGTTATCGGTCCCTTCATCAGTCTTTGGGGCTTTGCTGTAGGTTTTTTTGTTTGCTTGTTTGTTTGTTTTTGTTTTGCTGAGGATTAAATAATCTCCTCCGTTTCGATCTAGTCTATTGTGAACATTTAAGAATTAGTAGTAATCTTGGTCTGGAAACATCTTGAGTGGTCTCGAGAATACCATGGCAGAACTGATTTGTTTCTGGTGGGAATCCCCTGGCACAGGAATAACTCAGGGGCCAGTAGAAAAGTGGGTTCAGAATTTAGTGTGGTTTTAACAAGAGGAGGATCCACATGGGAATTCTTTAATTTGCTAAATGCTTGTTTTGGATACTTGCTAATGTTTTTAGATTAGTTAGGACTTTTAAGTAGCTCTGTCAGTTATTTTGGATATTGGCCTACTCCTGATAGTAATACAGTGTTGAACAGTTTTAGAATGATAGTTTGGGATCTGCATTCATGTATATGGTAGCTAACATATACACTGGTTAAACTAATGTTAAAATTAACAGCTAATAATATGATAAGCGAGCCATTTTGGGTAATTGCTAGGATTTGGACCTTATTAAGATTTGCCTAGGAGATGAATTCTGAATTGATCAGAAATTAAGAAATTTAATTACTAAGTACATGCAGACTAAGTTTACTAAGTACATGCAGACTACTACTACATAAAAGAATACAAAAATGAGTAAGACATGGGTCTGCCTATTGGGAATAATGGGTATATTTATTCAACTGTTAGATAGCTATTTTCATAAAAGAGACGAGGAAACCAGTGCAGGATGATTCTTAAGTAACTTGCTCAAGGTCATACTTAGTAAATATCACAGTCAGATGTTGACTTGAGTTTCTCTGATTCCAAAGCTTTCATTCTTAACTGGTATGTTGTATGCATATCTTTCTGCACACAATTAAACATAATAATGAGACAGACTGATTACTATCATAATGGACTACAAAATTTGGGGGAAAGGAAGGCCGTTAGGGAGTATTACTTGGAAGAGGGTAGGATTTGAGCTT